TTTAAGTTTTTTGTTTTAATTTTACACTAGAACAGGAATAAAATTCCTCTGCTGGATCACATTTAACATGTAATGAATGTATGCATATTATGGAATTTATGTATATACTCTAGAATAAATAAATAAAAATAAATAAAATAAATATTTTATATTATAAGAGAGTCCTATATAGTATAAATGAAAAAAGAACACGATTCTATTGTAAAACGTGTAACGTACCGTTAGACATTTCTACTGAGAACAAATTTTTTTTAAAGATTTTTGCAAAAAATTATACAAACAAGATTTATTCGATGTTATAGTAGTGTTGAGTAAAGAAAGAAAAATGTTTAAGACAGCTCTGTATTATAAATTATTAAACTTGTACAAAATTCTAAAGAACAACAAATAAAAACAAACAACGAAAGCCAAAAAAGTGAAAAAAAAAAATAAAAAAAACCAAACATGGAACTAGTTTCTCTCCATTTTCACGTTTTAGTTCTAGGTAATACAGAGAGTGAGAATTTTTATATTTATTATATAAAATATTTCACTCGGAAATGTTGATATTTTTTTTTCAAAATATGCAATTTTCAACAAAATCAAAAGAACATTTTTTTTAAATTTTATACAGAACACAGTAGTATTTATTCTTTGCAAATATTTAACTTTTCTTTCTTCAGGTCATTTATATTGTCGCCACCACCTTAAATTTTCAAATTTTGCACACACACACACACACACATGCATGGGTGTGTGAAAGAAGCGTAAATTCAACAGCATAGCCTATTTGAGTAATAATGGCGGTAATTGATTTCTTTAATTCAATAGACTTATCCAAAAAAAATAGAGGCAAAAAAATTTTTTTCACGAAATTAAACGCTGCTTACGATAAAAATTTAAGAAAATGAGAAAAAGAATATTTTTTAAGTTTTAAAAGATTAAGGTCATTTAAAAGCAGGAAAAGTGATCCTTTAATTTATTAAAAAATTTAATATAGTAAAATAAAGAAATGGCTCAATATATTTAATTTAAACTGTGGAAGGTTATTGTGGGTATATTGGATTATAAAACGCAAACTTAATATCATTAGTCTTCGCAATACTGTTAATTTAACGCGCGGTTTTCCAAAAACCTATTCAAAGTACTTTTTTTCTGGTTTTTTTCAAATTCATGTGAAGCATGGAAAATATTTTTTATTGAAAAATGAATAGCCTGTCTTTGTAAAGAATTTATTCAAGTTTTTGAAAGTCTCCTTTAATTTTCTGTGCAATCTGAGATTTAATGATCAAAGATAAAACGATCCTTTTTCATTCTAACTCTGATATCTCTAAAAGATAAATTATCATATCGAGCTCTATCACCTCTTTAATTAAAACTGAATAAACAAGCTTTCCATTCCATACAATCGTTTAGATTAAAATGTTTGTTCCACGTACGTGGACTAAAATAAATAACCAAAAAAATTTCGAAAAACTTTTTCTCGTGATATTAATTAGGATTGCGCAAAAGACATGGACTGGAAATTTTCTTATGATTCAAAACTAGTAAAAAAACTAGCTTCAATTGGCTTTTATTACATTTTTTATATCGTTTTTCACGAAGATACAGCCATGTGAAAAAACACCGAAAATTTCAATTACTTTTTTATCTGATAGTGTATATTTACTTGAGAAAATTATGTCATCTAATCTAACATTCAGTCACGCAGATAACACACAAGGCATGTAATAGACTAATTTATTGCATAGATTAGATAGCGTATCACAAGAAAATTACATCGATAATATAAGAGAGGTAAAATTACTAAACAGATTGAAGAATCCAAGATTCATGCAATTAACTTGAGTAATTTATATACAATAAGTTATAGCATATTGTTGATAAATAATAAAACGCTTATTTAATTGTATATATATGTGAGTATATGTGTCTGTATACCTGTGTGTACGTGTGCGCGCGCGCGTGTATAAAAGCAAATTAATTATGCGGAGAATATACGTACGATTTTGAAGTTTGAATGATGTTAAGAGTGAATAGATAGTTTCCAAAAATCAGTTAGCTGACAAACAGGGGTGCTTCGTATTTCCAGATTGCAAGCCAACTAATATATTGATCATCTTGAAATCGCCACAAACGAGCCATTTGTGTTCATTGTAATTGATTTTCTCAAGAAGGAATCGAAAGTTATCGTGAGACTCTTTCATCACAGTGGAATGAGCAATGGGAATAGCTGCATACTCATTCCCATTGTGCAGAAGTACTGCCTTGAGACTTTGTACAGAAGCATCCATGAAGAGTCACCAGTTCTCTGGATTATAACCTCCTTGCACTCCATATAAACTGATGAGATGCTTTATATCGCTGCAGTAAACAAGGTTTTCCATGCAAGTAAAATATGGCCGAAATTTAATATCTCTCTTCCTGTAAATAGAAACTTTTGTCTCAGGTAATAAAAGATTTCTTTCTTTTAGTCTTGAAGCTAAGAGTTCTGAAGAATCTTTCGGAAGATTCAAATCACGGATCAGATCATCCAAAGAATTTTGGTCGAAAAGTTTGAGCTTTTCTGAGTCAGAAAAATCTTCTTCATCACTACTGCTGCTTTTGTCTGTTACCGGAACTTCTATTGGTTGAAGTTTTTTTGGCTCAGAATCAGAATTTTTTTTCTTTCTATTTTTCCATACTAAGCTGCTGTTACACTAGAAACGTACGGATAAAGGAGAGAAGCTTTGTTATTATGATTAAAACCTAAAGTATCACATTTACAAAAGTAACAGACATCATGGTGATTTTTAGGTTCACGCCATATTGTTGGTTGGAGAACAACTTTGGTTTTAGTTTTATTCCAGTTTTTCAAACTTCGACGACAGTCTTCACAAATATATTTAGGAACCCATTGTTTGTCTAAATTCTTCATAGGTGTCTCGTAACATTCTTCAAACTGATCTTTAATGATATCAGTGATTGATCGACGAAGTCGAGCTACCTCAAATTTACCGCAGATATTACAAAAGGAATCGATTTTTCCTTTGCATGGAATTCTACATGCCGACATCTTCAATAACTTATAAGTTAATTGGAAATCACGAGTAATATTATAAACTTATTCTAATAACGAAATGGGTAAATATAATTAAATTTCTAGAAGACAAAGTAATAATAAAGATTAGTAAAAGTACTGCACGCAGTGTTATATGAGAAATAATAGAAAGTATTTAATTCCAGTGACTTCTCCGTTAGCCTGCCGCTCAAACACGATCCCTAACACGGATGAAGAACGAAGCACAAAAATTTGTAGTTTTTGAGCAATGTCATACACGGTTATCCTCAAGTAAGGAAATGTAGGCCCTAAGTGAATCCGATATCTGCTAACGTAGATACTTTCTTCATCGTTAGTAGACCAGAAAAATGTAAGATTAAAAATCATAGCTGATCGATTTCGCAAGTTATAGACACTTGTATGTAAACGTAAATTGTACTTGTATACGTAAGTTGGATATGAATTTTCCTATCACAGACACAAATTCTTCTACCTTCTTTTACCACAGAAATGACGTCTATCGTTGTTCTATTGACCCAGCGGTATTCCCCGTCCACCAAACTCGAATTTCTTTAACCCTCGATAGGGCCGGGGGCTCGGCCGGGGGTTATAGCTTCGTAGGTTAAAGACTCGAGGGTTAAGGAAATTGGGGTGTGAGGGTCGGGGGTTATACCGCAGCAGGTTAAAGGGCTCGAAGGTTAAGGAAATTGCGATATGTCGGTCAGGGGTTACAGCGTCGCAGGTTATGGGGCTCTAGGATTAAGGGAATTGAGATTATAGAGTCATTCTGACGTTAAATTTGGATTCAGTGACCCAAAAAACATATAATTACACTATAACTCCTTATTCGGAAATTCGCCACTATTTCGTGCTTAACGAAATCGCTAAATCACTCAAATTCAATCTACGATATCTCGATAGAAAAAAAAGAGATTTTTAAATCTGAAAAAAGGGTTTTGAAGGATAAGAGTAGTACTTTGAGATAGCATTACTCGTTTTGTAAAATAAAATTGACTTACGACGTAATACTACGCGAAATATATTGAAAAATCGTGTTTTTTGAACTTTTAGGTTAGGATTTCTTGAAAACCTAGGGTGATGGAGCAATTCTGAGGTCAGATTCGGTTTCAGCGCACCAAAAACCTTAGGGAACGTACTGTCTGGTTTCTGGGTTTTTCCATTTTTTGAATTTTGTCGGCCTGTGATTATTCTGTCATATTTAAACCGTAAATCATTTTAAGAACATATCTTGAATAAATTATAAAGATTACATCAAACCCATTCGATTGATGTAATAAAAGCACACGATAAAATTTCTTGTTTTTGTCTTTCTCTAGATAATGATAAAAGTAAAAAATAAGACAATTTCTATCTACGTTTCACCTCGAACCATATTATGAAATATAGAACCCAACCCAGAATAAATAAGGATTTTTAACCTTTGTAAATATTTCAGCTAGTAAAATATGTTTATCCATTCTGAATTTTATATTTTAAGCCTTTCAAAGGAGTTTGGACAAAGTTTTATTTAAAATTTTTTCATAAGTTTTTGCAATATAACTCGAGATAAAATAGTGACAAAAATTTGATATTCTTTGCTTCTACAAACATTGCAACGAAATTATAAGAATAAATTTATATAAATTATTCTATAGGGATTCGAAAAATCGAAAGAAGTTGGAAATAAACTTATACTAGTTGTAACAACGAATGTTATAAATTGTGTATGAGACATTGTCTGCAATAACTTAAGAGTTATAAATTAGTTATATATTCGTTGTTTCATCAACAGAATTCGAGGTATTCTGATGAGAAGCTAAATAATAAAAAAAAATATAAAGAAAAGTAATAAAGAAGTTAGACAGAACACATAGGAGTGAGATAGAGAATAAAGAGAGAAATAGAGAGAAATAGAGAGAGAGAGAGAGAAAGAGAGAGAACGACACACTAAAATAAAGAGATTACTAATATTATAACAAACCGCTTGTTTTTTTTCCCAAGTCTTCATTGCTGATTTATATTTCTCAAACTCGTGACACCAATCAGAGTAGATTTTTTGGTAGTCATTCGATTTGGCAGGTGCAGAGCATCGATGAGCATCCACAGTAATATTGTAAGAACAAAGAAGAGAGCCAGCGAGCCAACAATCATATCTGCCCGCATCTTGTTCGTTGACTCCAACGATAACCAGACCCTTCTCAGAGGTCTCGATAAATTTTTCTGGTTGAGGGCCATATTTATAAGCAATTTGATATCGACCTTTCTCTTTGCTGTAATGATACCATTTAACTGTCTGATCAGAAAGTACTTCAGGCATCTTGACGAAGCAACCAAGGTGCACTGATTGACCCCATGTAACTACTAGCTTTCGTTTGCCCACGCTATTGTCACACGCATCAGCTGTACTGTTGGACACATCCTGTAGTAACCTGAAAAAAAAGTATTTATTAGTGATATATATATATATATATATATATATATGCTCTGAATACTTCTAAGAAGACTTACCCTGGAGAATAAGGTTTACATGTGTTGGCATCTTTATCCCAGCCACAGTATGGATCGCGTACACATCTAAGACAATTATCGTAGCGGTGTGCACACATAACTAAATCAATTTGTTTTATTCTGTGGTCGCTAGCTACATAAATAGCTTTATGTTCGTGTGATATTTCCATGGCTTGAATGGGCTCACCTGTTGTTACTTCGAATACATCCAATAAGATTGAGCGTGACTCACCTTCAGACTCGAGCCACTGGACGATCTTGTACACACGGCCGTCATTTGATCCTGCGTAATAAACTGTATAGTCAATATCCATGCCAAGAAAATCAATACGCAATCTGTCGACTACAAGCTTGCTGAGCACAAGATCACGCTGGTAGAATACGGGCTTGTCATTCTCATGACTGACTGCCGAGTCCATGAGCGGATGCGAGCGAATGAAGTTAAGAACATTGTCGGGCAAAGTTTCAGTATCGTTGACACACTGACCAGGTCTTGGTTCGGGTACCTTGTTCGACAGTACCGGTAACCAAGCACTGCTGGAGCTTGCTTGTTCCTTAAATTTGCCACGGAATGCCTCTTGAATTGCTTCTATGTGAAATGAGCAGATAGCTGATCCCATAAGCCCGTTTGTCGATGTGGTAAAAGTTCCATAAAAGTGCGTATTGTCCTCGGGTACCTTGTAGATGCTCTCTGTAATCGAATGATCCATCAGAAAAATGTCAAGTCTAAAAATTAAGTATTATTTGTTTGTTTTTCGAATATTTTTTTATTTTTCATACTCACGTATTTCGTTGAAATAGAACGGGAACTCGCCAGGTATAGAGCAATTGAGACGTGCTTTTAGGTATGTTGCCCAATTTTGTGAGAGAATATTTTTACCTCCTGTGTCTCTTTTACAGACACGAGCGACTCGAGAATATACGCTTTTGCCACAGTTTATATACTCTACAGCTGTTTCACGGAAGAAGAAGAATACATGCTCACCAATATCAAATGAACCTACGAAGTTTGGCTCTGCAACACATTAGAGATACTAATTGTTAAATAAAATCATTACTAAAATCGCAAAAGTACATATTTATTTACTTGAGTGATTATAATAAAAATCAATATAATAAATATTGTGATAAATTTAACTAGATTAAAATAATTATTGAATTCATTATTGGATCCGAATAAATTAAAATTATTATAACAAAGAAACGCAGCAAGAAGTTGAATAAAAAGTTAGTTTTTGATAAGATTAATACTAAATTAATACTAAAATTTTGTCTTAAATCATTGAATAGCAATAACGACAAAAAACTATAGTTGTTAATCTAACTTAACAGAATATAAGTGAATTAGACTTTCATCTTCTCATTATCCGATATTTCTACTACAAAATATTTTATCATCTTACTTATTGACATCAAAAGTACGAAAAATTCTATTAGAAATATTATATCTTCTATTCTACATTTGTTAAATATAGGAAAAATAACATATTCTATTCTTTCTACTTCGATAGAAAAACATGAATCGTCTATGGATATTTGAATTTCTTCTTAAGAAAACCACTTTTCAGTTATATGAGCAATTTTACGTAGTTAGATTTCCAGACAATCAACCGAAATATAACTAATTGTAAATTATACCTAATAGAATCAGGGACATAACTCTGATAGTTATAACTTCGTAACATATTCAAAACATATTTCTGATCTAAAAAGAAACACGAAGTTATTGTTAAATGTAAATGTATAAAGTCTCGTTCGATTTAAGAGCACGATTAACTTGACATATACGAGGTGTGATCAAAAAGTAAGGTGAATTTTTATTTTTCACAAAAAATATTTATTTATTCATCAATTTTTATTTTATCTCCTTCAAAGTAATCCCCCTCGGATATAATGCACTTGTACCAACGCTTTTTCCAATCCTCAAAGCATTTCAAAAAATCATTTTTTGTGATCTTGTTTAGTTCATCCTTCGATGCCGTCTTTATCTCCTCAATCGTGGCAAAACGCCGTCCTTTCATAGGCCTCTTCAGTTTTGGGAACAAGAAGAAGTCACATGGCATCGTTACTGTGTTGGTTTTAGCCAAAAATTCGCGCACAAGCAACGATGTGTGAGCAGGGGCGTTATCATGGTGCAAAAGCCAATTTTTATTTTTCCACAAATTCGGACGTTTCTGGCGGATTGCTTCGCGCAAATTGCGCATAACTTGCAGGTAATATTCCTTATTTACTGTTCTACCCTGTGGCAAGAACTCATGATGCACCACGCCCCTGCAGTCAAAGAAAACTGTAAGCAAAACCTTTACATTTGATCGAACTTGGCGTGCTTTTTTTGGTCTTGGTGATCCAGAATGCCTCCACTAGGACGATTGAGTCTTAGTCTCGACGTCATAACCGTATACCCATGTTTCGTCACCTGTTACAACCCTGTTGAGTAAATCTGGATCATCGTTGACGTCATTCAGTAGCTCTTGGGCGATGCTCATGCGACGTTTCTTTTGGTCGAAATTGAGCAATTTCGGAACAAACTTCGCTGACACACGTCTCATGTCTAAAACACTCGTCAAAATTGATTGGCACGAACCAAATGAGATGCCAATATCATCAGCAATTTCTCTAATGGTAATTCGACGATTTCCCAACACTATTTTCTTCACTTCTTCAACATTCTCATCAGTTGTTGATGTGCTGGGGCGTCCAGAACGAGGTTCGTCGTCGGTGTCTTCTCGGCCTTCTTGGAAGAGTTTATACCACTTGTAAACATTTTTTTGGCTTAAAGTAGACTCACCGTATGCCACTTTCAGCATTTCAAGTGTTTTGGAACATTTGATTCCATTTTTCACACAAAATTTAATGCAAACTCTTTGATCCATGTTTTTAGACAGCAGCAAATCGTGGAGCACGCAAAACACTTCTAACCTTGATGCCTCTCACAAACAAACCAAACATACTACAAAGCTGAAATTTGGAACGTATGTTCTAGACGAGTGTACCGACATAACCAAATAAAAAAGTCGAAGATCGAACGGACGTAGCCCGCTAAATTTCAAAATTCACCTTACTTTTTGATCACACCTCGTATTAGTTGAATCGCTAGGTGATTGAGCAAAATTTTTTATTTATTTTTTTTTATTATTAATATTTACAATTTGTCTTACGTATTGAGACAAAAGCAAACGTTGTTGCTATTAGACACACACACGCACACACACACACAATAAACAGCAGTTTACTCTAGAGAGTATACTGTCCTTGTTTTACAGTCTGATTGAAATAATTATGTTAATTTATTTGGGTATTCATTAGTTTATATTTCTTCAGTCTGTTGTTGACGATGGATATCTTGAGAAGTTTGGTGGCAAGTTTATTTGGGTGGTTTTGAAGTCTGGAATTAGATTTTTCGTAATTTCTTTGCGTTTTAATTTCTTCTTTCACTACAGGTATCTGTAAATCATTTCGGATAATTTAATTCGGTACGAACCGTACTATATTGCGTAGGACTTTCGATTGGAATCTTTCCAGGGTTTCAATATCCGAGTTAAAAGCAGTACTCCACAGTTGAATGTTATATGTCCAGACTGATTTAAGTACAGCTTTATATAGGAGCATTTTTTTTCAATTGACAACTCTGATTTTGTTCCGATGAGCCAGTACATTTTTCTTCATTTTAGTCCCAATTGTTTACGTTTAGTAAATATATGTTCTTTCCATGTAAGTTTTCGATCTAGATGAATACTTAAATATTTTACTTGATTGTGTTGCGGAATATATTTATCGTTTAATTTAATAGGAGGACAGGTATCTTTTCGAAGTGTAAATGTCGTATGTATTGATTTGCTTTCATTTATTATTATTCATCAGGAATTAAACCAATTTTGAAGGTGTTTTTTATGTAGTTTTGTAATATTTTGGTTGCTATTGTTGCCTCTGAGTATACTGTTAAAGTTGCTGTACCATCTAGATAGATATTAATAGACTTTGGAGGGTCCAAGATACATAACAGATGTAGCGTTGGACTTAGAACATGGCCTTGCGGTACTGCTGCTTTTATTAACTGACGTTTTGATACGATTTTATTTGTTTTAACTTGATAGGCTCTATTGTGTAGATATGACTATATCAATTCGTAGTGGGGCTGAGGAAAAAATCTCTTAAGCTTGTGCAGTAGCCTTTAATGCCAAACCTTGTCAAAGCCCGGACAATATCCAGGAATATCAGTACAGCATTGTTTATCTTCGATGGCTTTTCTCGCAGCAAATACTATTCTACTACTGTGATCAAAAAGTAAGGTGAAATTGTTTATAAAATATAATTTCTTTATTCTTCCTAATCAATTTCACCCCCTTCAAAGTAATCCCTGTGCGATAAAACGTACTTGTTCCAACGCTTTTTCCAGTCCTCGAAACAGTCAAAATAGTCTTTTTCTGGTATAGCCTTCAAGACCATCTTCGATTTGGTTTTTATCTTCTCAATCATGTCAAAACGGTCACCCCGCATTGGCCTTTTGAATTTGCTGAACAGCCAGAAGTCGCACGAAGCCAAATCAGGCGAATACGGTGGTTGTGGAACGATAAGTCGAGTTTTTAGCAAAAAAAGTCGTGAAAAACCAATACAGTATGACATGAAGCATTATCGTGATGAAGAAACCAAGAGTTGTTTGTCTATAATTCCGGCCGTTTCAGTCGAATAGCTACACGCAAATGATGCATAATACACATATAATATTCTTTGTTGACAGTTTGGCTCGGCGGAAGGAATTCATAGTGCACCACACCACGATAATCAAAGAAAACTGTCATCATAACCTTGATTTTCGATCGACTTTGCCGTGGTCTTTTCGGTCTTGCTTCACCTTTTGCACGATATTCGCTGGATTGGTCGGTGATTTCAGGGTCGTATGTATAAATCCAAGCTTCGTCTCCAGTAATAATGCATTTCAAGTGGCCCTAATAGTCCGACAGTAAATTTTCACACATATCAATGCGACGTTTTTTTTCCAAAAAATTGAGCGATTTTGGCACCAATCAAGACTTGACGCGTTTGAGACACTAAACATTCATCTAAATGGTTTCGGCTGAGCTGAATGACATTCCAATACTATCAAGGAGGTCTCTGATTATCAATCGATGATTTTCAAGCACCAAATCTTTGATTTTTTGGACATGGTGCTCATCGATAGACATTGATGGTTACCCAAAGCGCGGTTTGTCTTCAATGCGTTTTCGGTCGCTTTGAACTCGGTATACCACTTATAAACGTTTTTTGTGCCATAGTTTCATCACCAAAGGCCTTCCGCAACATTTTCAACATATTCGCACAAGATATTTGTTCCGCAAACAAAATTTTATTACAATTGCAGTAACGATGAAAAGTCAATTAATAAACTTGAATAATTAACGAAAAAAATGTCGCAAACAATGGACATATTGTTAAAATTAGTAACCATACTTATTAATAAATTAGTATAACCATGTCAAATCTGTCAAATCTAAAAATTGCTATCTGGAATGCAAATGGCCTTACGAGAAGACACCTCGAGTTAAGAGCATTTTTAATTCAAGAAAAGATTGATATTATGTTAGTCTCAGAAACACACTTTACTAGCAAAAATTTTCTCCGCTTACCAAAATACTCAGGACACAAAACAAATCATCCACTCGATAAAGCACACGGAGGTACTGCGATTCTAATCAAAACAAATATAAATCACCACGTTCACAAACATACTAGTGAAATATTTCTTCAAGCAACTAGTATAATCATCAAAGATAAAGAGGGACCGATTACAATATGAGCTGTTTACTGTCCTCCAAACAAAACAATCACAAAGGAAAAATGGACAAAATTTTTCAAAACACTAGGAAACCGCTTTATAGCAGGAGGGGATTATAATGCGAAGCACCCGTGGTGGGGATCTAGATCAGAAACTCCAACACACAGAGGCTCTATAAAATACTACAAAAAAATAAATTCACCCCGATATCCACCGGAGAACCAACATACTAGCCTACAGAA